TTGCAAGCTGGGCAAATCAGCACAAATTAAATATCTCAGCAGATAAAACTAAACAACTGTTTATATGTAAGCATGGAGCAGCGAAATAGGATTCCCAACATTAAGCTAAATGCAGTCTCTATAAAAAGGTCACTGACCTTAAATATCTAGGTATTATAATTAACAATACGCTTTCCTGGGTACCAAATATTAAAGAGCTTAAGCAGAAAATAAATCAGCTTAGTAATTCCATGGTTTGAACATCAGGACCTCATTGGGGCACTCCAATCACTATGCTCAAAAGTGGGTACAGAACAATCTCAGAAAAGATCGTATTATATGGGGCTGCCATATGGGAAAGGAAGCTTACTGCCCATATGGAAAGGCAGCTTCTCACCATACAAAGAATGCAACTTTTGATCATATGCAAAGGTTTAGAACAACCCCAACTGCAGGCACTGCAAGTGCTGGCGGGTATCCCTTCCACTGGACCTTCTAGTGGAGAGAGAATCACTAGTAGTAAGGACATTGTGCCTAGAAAATAACGTCTCTCTGTGGCAAACGACATTCTACCACACAGACTATGAGAAGCGCAAGCCGATCAAGCTTGGACACTCTGCAGATACTGATTTATCGCACACAATATACATGCAACACATACCGCCAAATGAGAAGGCATTTGCTATTTATACAGATGGCTCAAAGACGGAAAAGGCACAGGCTGCGCCTACTGTGTACTTACTCCAAGAAGAGTGGTTAAAAACTTGGGAAAGACGACTGGCAGACAAAAATACCGTCTTTCAGGCAGAGCTTCTTGCATTAAAAGCAGCCATCAATTTGGCAAAATATCAATTAGGATTAAAGGTCAACATATATAGCGACTCTGCCTCAAGTTTGGAGTCCATCCGAGGCACAAGACAAGGAGTCCTTTGGTGCAAGATATTCAGAAAATTCTTCTAAGTATCCCACCAGATGACAGACCTATCCTGATCTGGGTTCCAGCTCATGTGGGTAATTACTGGCAACGAAGCGGCGGACCTGCTTGCGAATTTGCTGCCAATGACTCCAGTAGATTGGAAAACGCAGTAAGTCTTCCGCAGTCCTATTTAAAAAGAAAACCACGCTCAATAGCCTTTTTCAAGAATGGCAGAAAAGATGGCAAAGGGAAAGCACAGGGAGGAGAACCTACAAGTTCTTTCCAAAAGTCATGTGCTCAGTTAATACATACAGCGGAGCACAAACTCAATTCTACACACTGGCCATGGTCCCTTCCCACATTATCCTTGAGATTCGCATACGAGCATCAGATTTGTGTGAATGTGGTGCGGTAGGTGATGCAGATCACTTCCTCTTCAACTGCCCACAAACCCATAACTGCATTTAAAAATGCCAAGCAGTGAATACTGGCCGCAATGGGCAGAGAATACCCGCGGCAACAAGCAGACGAAAACTAAAATAGAGGAGGTAATCAGGCTTTGCTCAGCAAGATACTAAGAAATTCTCCCCCTCTCTTGAGAATTGTATCTTCGCAGCATAATTTTAATAGAAATTCAAAATACTACAACAACTGAATATCAACACTAGGAAAATAGCTCACCCCGTAGAATAATAACAGGACTGTAAGAGCAAAACTATTGTAATGTAAGCATATTACTATCCAGTTTGTATGTACTTGATAAAAATAATATTGTAAAGCAGTTTAAATGATATTGAACCAGTCAATGTGTAAATGAATTACAAGTTTAATTTTGATTATCTCAGTAAAAGTATTGTAAATATGAATTCATATAATGTTTAATGTACACTAGCTGTCATGATTTTATGTATCTATCATATGTAACTTGTACAAGAAATGATTGTAATCAACATATCTATGCTTATACCACAGCCTTGTATGCCCATGTAATATTTATATGTATTTTTACACGAGGAAATTTTCCCTTCTGCCAGGATGACTACTAACACTGTAAGACTTTTACAACAAAGTCAGTGGTTATCTCAGGCGGCGCTCAGATACAATTATTGTTCATAATCACTCTGTGCTTTACCACACTCTGACGAAAGCAAGAGTGCTTTCTTTTTAATACGTTCTCTCAGTGATCTAATTCTTCATATGTAAATAAAATTAAAACACATTCCTTGAAAATAAGATAGGCTCTAGAAGTACGGATTCAGTTCTAATGCGATATCTAACTAGCAAAATTATACGTATAGCAAACTGATTAATTAAATATAAATATTTTTTTTAAAAAAAAAGAATAGTAAAAATATCAAATTATATATATATAACAGAAACTGAAATTGAGGAAGAGTTAGTAGTCAAACACGCAGCAGAGAATTGTCGAAACTTCGTTTAAAGTGATTTCATGGGAGTTTGAAGGACTATTCTGTTCACTTCAAAAATTATATTATAACACTTCACCTTTCGCTTTCTAATAGTTTTTAACCAATAATGGTAATTAAAGTTGATGGAATCTATAACTTAATTTTGCTAAAATGGCTACATCAATGACAATAACTAGAACCAAGGACTGACCATTAAGGTAGTCTGAAACTTGACAGACTTTTAAATCTGGATCATGAAATGAGAGTAGCATTATCATTTTTACTCTCAAATATAAATGAAGTTATCAAAGAACAAAATCAAATTTTGCATTAAATGTAAATTATAATTTTTCATTAAATAAACATTTTTTTTGCTTTGTAATGCAATTTTATTTCATATTTCATTAAAAACCACTATTGCTATTTTCATGAAATATATTATACGTACATCAATCAATTAACCAAGTAAAATTCTTTTAAATGTCTCTTATTATTAGAATGCCACCAAATTATTAATTATTAAACGTGTGTTATTACGAAAAAAAGGTTTGGGAATCATTGCTCTAAATGGATATATGACTTCAAAAGCGATATCATATGGTAATTAATCTGAAATTCTGCAAGTTAATTAGGACTAAAGATAAATAGGTTCTCTGCATCTGCCTCTCCGATGTGAATAAAATGAGCAAATAGATATCAAAATGATTTCGTTTCGTTTATTTTTATTTCATGAGCAGGAGAAAACTGATCACTTATGAATCAATTTTAAAAGGTGGACAAAATCCTTCTTTGATGGATTCAGATCAGAACCGTTTGTTTACTGAATAGAATCTTTTTTTATGACTGGCCATTCAATAATAATAAATAACATTGATGAATAAAATTGGGAACAGGGAGTAAATCAAGAATGGTCTAATAGGAGGCAGCGAAGAGGGCAAAGAATCAATCGCCTTATTGAACCGTTAACTCTCTGCAGCAATTTCTTTCAATTGTAGTTTTGAGATTCTCTAAAACCTCCTACCTACACTGAATTAATAATAAAATTTTTGAAGAGAAAATATTGAGAAAGTTGTGAAATGATAAAATTTACATTCACTTTTAACATGGGAAGATAAACATTTCCCCCTCCCCAAAGAAAAAAAAAATGGGAATCCAGTTTTGTTGGCATGCTTCCAATAAGAACTCTCAGTGAGTGAATTCTAAGAGAGCTACAGTTCCTTTTGTTTTTGCCCGAATCGGCATTCCCTCAGTCAATAAAGTGAATCGGTTCTCTGAATTTGTTCGCAAGTGAATGGCACATTAATCAACACTACACATTAGCTTATTTGTTTGAATGAATACGAAGGATCATTGACTATGGTAAAGGATACCGGATACCTTCAGGAAGACGTTCTAATGGAAACTAGTTCATATTTATGCAAGGAATGATGAAAACTAAACAAATATCCATGTAGCTAACCAGTTTGCAGAATTTGAACCCAGGTCAAATTGCCAGTGTTTCAGCAGTCTTGTCCACTCCACCATTATGATTTGCCATCAACTGTGACTATGGAACTGAGCAATTTTTCACAATTCCTCAATGATTTCAAAAAGGTACAGGTATGAAAAACTGAAATGTTATACCTTAGTATAACATATACTAAGAACTACATATACTAAGAACATATATCTTAGTATATGTAGGTAGATACCAAAATTTCTGGCCTCAAATGCACAAAACTGTTTGTCTATAAATTGCTTTTGCAGATATGTAGCAAGAGTTTAAAGGCATAAATTTGGATGCTTCATTAGGAAACTCATATGCACTCGTTTTTGACTGTGTACTGAACAGAAGAGATGTGCTAATTTGCTCTGAAATTTTAAAAACTGAGTACTATCCTGTGATTAAATTTTTGATCAAAGATCTAAATCCCAAAGAAATACAATAATGTTTGGATCATGTGCATAGTGGTTCTTCTCCTAATCATTCTACAATGAAAGAACATGTCTTTTTTTAAAACAAAATTTAGTAAAAATAGATCATGAATAAAATCGTCCTCCTTTTACAATCAATAAATCAGTTATGACTAACTGATGTGCCACATGAAACCATGGCTTTTTTTTTTTTCCTGTGGCCCAAACTTAAGTAAAGAAAAATTATTATTATTGAGCTACTTACAAAATAGTCATAAATTTTCATCTACCTTCAGACCACATTCATACTAAGATTTTTTACAACTAATACCACAAGAAACTTGAAGTAACTGATTATTCCAGAATGCATCCCTCAACATTTATTAGGCATACCTATACTTGTGTACGAGGCCCTCAGTACACAATTTAAATTGGCCTGCCCTCCAGGATACAGAAGTCAATTGTTATTGCCATAAATTATGATGGCTTTTCTTCTCTTTTTCATTAATTACGCAAGACTCCAAGTGTTTTAATACTATTATGATGCCTAAATATGCTTTCGGTTATAAAATGATGTAAGAAATTCTTAAACTATACTGAATCACTAAAAACTCAAAAAATGACTGCTCATGTATGAGAAGTTAAAATAGTGTCATTCAACTAACATATTTTCACATATTCTGAATAACGGAATACCTGTAAATGGAAAAGATATATGGTACACTTAAAAGTTAACAAAAAAAATGTAATTATTCTCAGTTCTTCAAGTGTGAAAATTTGATTTAGAACAAAAATATAAACAATTTCACAAATATAAACAACTTTATTACACAATCTAGTATTTTATGTAACATATTAAAGAATTTCAAATACAGTAGTTCATTAAAACATCATCAAATTGTATTATATACATGGAAAATATATATACAAAGAAAAAAAATAACATTCAATGTAATTAGTGTTTAATCACATGTTCAGTGTTATAATACATTGTATTTGTACAGATATTTGCATCCTACCCAATTATTTAATTACACAGTCATAGCTAATTAATAGGAGCTATTCCTATATTTTTATTACCTTTTATTCCACTTATGACAATGGGAACATTTTTTTTAACAACAAATACTTAAAACTTTACCAAAAACTATAGACATCTCTATAACGACACAGTGTAAAATATAACATATGACAATGTTAATTTAGTAACATACTTTGGTCACTATGTATAACTTTTAATATACTTTGACTTATTTAACACAGTTTTGAATAGTTCATATTTAGTTTTACAAGAAATTTTAGACTGTTTTTATTTTTCACTGCATTTTTTTACACTATGAATTAGTTTTAATTTTTTTACTACATTTTTTTAAACTATGGATCAGCAGAAAAATAATTAGTAACAAAATATTAAAAACATTATAATAACATTAGTTATTTGAATCATTATTGCATTTTAATTGCCATAATCTAAAACACCAGTAAACAAAACTGCTTCAAAATGAAGAAAATGTTTATATTTTTAAGCTAAAATTTTAAAGTAAATATAATGCTTTGTTATAAACATGCTAAACATTAAGGCTCTTCAGAAGAGAAGAAAATATACTACTTTTTTCCCAAAAAAATAATTAGCAGATTTTTTTAAATTTTTTTTTTTTTACAATTTACATGTATTGCTTATAATTAAAACTTTGTTACAAAAGTTAAATAATCAATATTTGCCCCAAAGAAAATGAAAACATTCTGATTGAATCTTGTTCATTAATTTATTAAATAGCATTTTAGAACTCCAATATTTCTGAACTTCTTCAATAGGAGGAGTGTTAATTTTAAGATCAAAGCATTTTGATACAAAATATAACAATTCATAATGAATTAAATAATTTAATTAATGAGTTGAACACTTCATTATGAAGTAAATAAATCACCATTTACATATAAGCATATTAATCTAAGTTGCAATACTTCACATTTTCAGCTAATGTTTTGATTCAGTTTTGAAACTGAATAAAAAAATTATATTTCAAATTATCCAAAAAAGCAACTTTTAGACGAGCATAGATTTTGAATAAAACTGTCAATTTTTAGCGCAATCAGACACAAGTGCATCTTTTTTCAGGAGCAAAAAAATTTTGCAAAACAAGATGAAATCTCTTGAAAATGCTGCCTGATGACAAAAAATTTAATTGGAAAAGACACACACCAATGTAGAATTTAAAATTAGACAAAAAAGCAAACTTGGAGTGGCATAAGGTTTGCATAAAAATCTACTGAATTGAAGGCCGATGAGGCATAATTACCATCTTCTTTATGAACAATGAAATTTTTGCCAAACAGTAATAATTTAATAAAGAATTTACTTAAAAACAAAAACTAACAGAATTCCATTTATCCCAACAAAGTTTTACTTTTAAAAAAGCATGTATACTGTCATCTTCTAATTTATATTCTACTAAACAGAACCAAGATATACCACAGTCTTTACCAGAAAAGAGTTCACAATTAATATGAGAGCAGTTAAAAAACATAAGGAATAACCCATTTTATAAATAACAGAAAAATATTATGAACAATTTACCTCGATTTTTAAGCAGTTTAACCTTGTGAATAAGTCCATTTGGTTATAGTTAGCTGTTTAAAGACAGAACCTCATAAAACAGGAGTTGGTTCTAGGTTATTTTCAGCAAATTTTGCATATATAACTTCAAGAAAGGTACTTGATACTTTGATACAGAAGTAGTTATACATTGGTTCTACTGCTTTTGCAGTACTTTCCTGTAAACATGAAAGAAGTCCACAATGGGCATGGTGATAAAAGTTCCTGAGTGAATCCCATGGAGGGAGCAGGGAGAGGGAGAAAAAATTCCTCTATTTGCCCTTTTGGAGGTGGCGAGGGGAAGATACTTGTTAAGTATTAAACAAAATTGGATTGGTATTTTCACACCAATGTACACAATGAAGCAATATAAGCACTTGTGTTAGAGTATAAGAACACAGCTTTTAATCCATTTTTAAATTTGAAGCAGCTTTGTAACTCCTTCTACTGAATAATTCTAAAATAAATATCTTAATTCACATTATATTTAGTAAAAGATACAATTCATCTGTATTTTTTACCTCCCAATGGCTAATTTACAGTCCTGAAATAAATTTGGTTTAACACCCCTTAAAAAATAGACTGCAGCAAATATTTTGTATTGCGTGAGTGATAAAATTACAAACAAAATTCTAAAGCTCTGAACATTCATAAATTTTCTGCAGATAGTTGCAAAATAAAATTGCAAAATCATTAATCAAATTAAAATCATTAATAAAATTGCAAAATCATTAATAATTTTGTTTGACGTTCTAGTTTGTAACTTTAACTCATTCAACTGTGTGTTAATCTTGCCTCCTTCTTGCAAATTATAGACAATTGAATGTCACACTGACAGCCTGAAGTCAACACACAGATGTTTATGAAATAGTGTGTTTATGGAATGATGGTAATTAAAATCTGTCAGTCTGAAATTTCCCTCAAGAGATTGGAAGAAAGCAATACGACACTGCAAAATTATCTCCCACAGAATGTCCTCAGTTAGAACTGGGAAAGAATTTAAGCACATAGCTCTTACATGCTTTGCTCTAAATAGTCTATCCAGCCAATTAAATTCCAATATAAACATTTTTTCCACATAAAAATAAAATTACACAACCTTCAAAGGAATGTAATGACAACATTTAAATGAAAGTTTCAATTGCTGGAGGAAATACTGGATTTATCATTACCTTTAAAAAAGATAATGATAAATGAGAGTTCTCAAGAATGTATTAATGACCTACTTAAAAAAATTAAAATTATCATCACTTATATATATTTCAGCATCCAAATTATGCTACAATAATATACATATACTTGTGAAACTCCATGGAATCATTTAAAATGACAAAATAAATTATTTCCCCAGACTCCCTTGGTACAAAAGTCTTCAAAATCAGAAAATAAATACAATAGTGCGTTTAATTTGTGTGCCAATTGCTTGAGGCATATAAAAAAAATATGTATGGAAGGAATGTATTAACTCATACATTACATATGAAGAATTTCAAAATTAAATAATTACTACAGTTTGCTACACAGCTCCTTGTCTTAAGAAGAACATCATACACATTATTCATTAGCTGATTTAGTAGCAATTTTAGGGGCTAACTGTTTGTCCCTTTCAAGCTCTCGATCTCTTTGTAATTCTTTTTGCAAAGCTTCCTTTTGTTTTTGCTGTTGCAATCTCATGGCACGCTTCTGAAAAAGGAAGTTGAATTTATAGTTCACAGACTCAATAAAAATAAACTGCATTTTATGAACTGAATACTGTATATAACATCTTAAATTACATAGTTGAATTATACAGTCTAAATTCTTTTATATATTGAAACCAAAGGATACAGAAAAATATTTTTTGGTTAACTGAAAAAAGCTATTCAAGAAAAACTAACATTTATTGTTTATTTTTAATTTTAATTATTTGCTTTATCAAATGTTTTGACTTTGAATAATGAACATTCTACAGTGTAATGAAACATGACACTTTCTAAAATACACATGGACCGCAGAAACACAAATGATTGAATGCATATACACAAACTGTAGTTTCTTGTGTACTTTCTTCCCTAGCTTTTAGCATTAGGTCATGAAAATTTTAAAATATTAACATTCTTCCTGTAATGAACATAGATTTTCCGTCTGAGGGCTAGTTTATTGGTAAATTGCATTCCTTGACTTTTTTATTGCGCATTCATTTTGTATTTGCATTTTCTGTATAAGAATGTCCATTTTATTTTTTCTTGCATTTATTATTTGAAATATACTTTATGCAGATTCTTCATTTAGCTACCAGGCCATGGCAGATTTTCTCACATTTAAGAAACTTTCCAAACTTGTGATTTCAAGTTCCAGCTCATGTAACGTGTGCTTGATTTTTTGAAATTTGGGTTTTGTCCACCTCTTTTCTCCCCCATTCCTTCTTGGGATGTCACTCTTGAAAACTGTGGTCAAGACTCATTCATATGAGGTGTCCCTGGGTATTTACAAGGTAACTGAGACAACACTAATGCATCTAGCTCAGTTACTATCAGATATCAGCTCAATATCTATCAGATATTGTAATATTAATATTAGTATGTATTGTTATTGAATGTAAGTTTCTTTTAAGAAATAATATTACGCTCATTACCAGCAGCGTATTCATTAATTTCCACTTATCGTTTTCTTAACTGTAACTGCATCCATCACAAAACCAAAATTCTAATTTTAATTTGCAATCCCATAAGTACTCAGTCTTCTATTTAATCCAGATATTTCCCTTATTTATCATAAAAATAGTAACAGCTTTCATTAAACTGTGTCATTTCAAAATTAATCTTCTCCACAAGTCTTATATAATTCTGGTGAAACAGGTTTTTACATAACCAACTAAACAGAATGAAGCCAAACCAAAACTGAATCAGTCTTAACCAGATCTTACATTATGATCTGCACATTCCTTCTCCGTCCAGCTAACATACTTTCTGCAACCTCACTTCTTTGCTTCAAATGTATTAAAGATGTAAAAAAGACACTAATATAATTACGAAGAACAGGTGCATTTATTGGGCCAGCTTAGCCTGTAACCAAAAAAAAAAAAAAAAAAATTTAGTCAAAAAAATAACATATGTTGAACTGCCTCGACTGCAATTATTTCTACATGAATCAGCTTTCATCCTAAACATCTAACACCATCATTACCAAAATTATTTTATTAATACTAATATATATTAATTGATCATACCACACAAAAAATATGAATATGCAACAACTGCCACTGAAGGGTTCAACCGTAAGCAAAAATTAAACATATATCAAATAACAACTGAAAAAAATTACGGGAAAATAATGGGATAATTAAGCGAGATATGATTTGGTCTGTCTAATGCATGACTTAGAATAAAATAACATTCATGCAAGGAATATTCAGAACAGTAGCATTTCTAGCTGTGATATGATTCTTCAACATGATACTGAAATTTTTAAATTAATTTTTTAATTAAAAATGCCTTGAAATATTCATGCAATATAATATGTTAATAGATGTAAGAAAACCATACAACTTAAAAATTAGAAACAATTTAAGTAAAATTGAAAAAATAATAACTTTATACTATTACAAACTGAAAGTTTTAATTTCATAAAAAGAAAAATATGCATTCATATTACTTTTATCAGCAGAATAGTTAATTAATTATTTTAATAGATTTTATTAAAATATCATAAGCAGACATATGATTTTTGTCATAATTCAAAACTTTTTAAATCATATTTCAGGGAATATCTTGCTGCATGATTTTTGTAACATTTCCATTAGAATTTTCATCTTTTTCTTACAGTCAGTAGGCAGATTAGTTACGTTACATCAAGTGAAACAGACGATACTGCAGGATGCAAAAAGAAAGACCCAAAACACAACTTGGCATATGACATATTAATGTAACTGACTTCATCTGTGATTAAATTCATTAATTTTTTAATGCCAGCATATCTCTAATTTAATATGTTTTAATTTTTAGTTCAGTGAATGAAATTATTAATCAATATGTTATCAAATAATAAGTGAATTAAATAATTAACCAACATCAAATACAATATATAGTTGATACTGGTTAACTATTAATTGATATTGGTTTATATTTAATTGGTTTACATTCTTAATTAATTAAATATTAACTAATATCAATTATAGTGAATACAATGAGTTATTAATCAGACTAATTAATGAGGATAGTCGGTATTACATTAATTTCATTATAATGTATTTTATTCAAGCTTATTATAATATCAATTATTCACATAAATTGGAGCCAGAATCTATCCTGCTATTCATAAAAAAAAAAAATGGATATCTTTTGTCTGTAGACAAACTATGTATTTAATGTGAGTATGGGAAATTTATTTTTGCATGTATTCTGTTTTATTTCAACAAAAATTTACAGTTTAAAAGACTAAAATGTTAACTTCTCACTGTAATCACCACTGAAAGTTGCAAGCGAGGGAATTTATTTTCTTTTTTCATGCATTGTCCCCTCTTCTCAACAATACTTAAAAAGAGTAAAATATTAACTTCTCAGCACAGCCAACTTCAGAAATTATCATCATATTTTTTAGAACATATTGAACTTCAGACATTTTTCAGTTAGCTCTTCCATAGAAACTCAAAATCACCTGAAACCCAGATGATTATCTTACGAAAGCTTCACAGTAAGTCGACATAATTTTCTGCAACTGCTTTCATAAGAGATTCAAATCATATAGAATCATACATGGTCATTCTAGAAAAGTTTCTTATTACAGAAATCTCTGTCTAAGATGATCACCCATGATTCCAGATGATTCTAGTCTTCTGTGAAAATGATCATATTAGAAAGACTATATTCAGTACTGATATTTATTTATCTTCTAAAAGAGGGTTTCTTAAACTTTTTTCAGTCATGACCCCTTTTTATCACTGAGATTTTTTTGTGACCTCCAGGACCCCATAATATTTACAAAAATTTTGTGGGACCCCATAAGTATTGTGCACATCCAACACAAGCGTGAGTGAAACTGTCAATTTTTTTCACTTGTACCCTAATATACTATTGTAGTTTTAGGTCATTAACTTTAATTTCTAATTTTAAGACATAGAACAATGTGAAAATTTTAAATAAGTAACAGACAAAATGGCAGCGTCATGTGCAAAGCAAGGAAAATGAACGTTTATATTATAAAAAGAATGCATGGAAACATTTTTGCTGTTTTCTTTGTCTGCATTGTCTCATCTTTATCTATTTACAGATACATTGTGTAAAAGTATTTGATAATTGTAAAACTATTATAATAAGTTAAAGAAATATCAAAACTGCTAACATTTTTGGCAACCCCCTGCTGCAGGTTTCGCGATCCCCAGTTTAAGAAATCCTGTTCTAAAGAACACTGATCTCTGTTTCAGATAGCCCTTTTAGGGAGATGATCACCACAGGAATTTTTATCTCCATTTAAATAAAATATAATTATTTATACAAGACTGAAATTGTTCTTCCTTTGCCTAAACACACAATCCATTTTTATTCAAACTCAGTCAAATTAAAATTTTTATTAACATCTTTGAAATTAATATTTGCTTTTATTTTTAACAGCAATAATAATAATAACATTTTTTTGCGTAAAAGAGATTGAAAACTTACTTTAGCTAAAATAAAATTAAATATATATATAAAATCTCAACAAAAAATATAATTTTTATTTAGCATATGATTTTAAATATAACATACAAATATTTTAATATATGCAATATCAAATATAATAAAAAAGCTTCTTCAATTTTCAAAGTACTTTATGAAAAATGAAATAAATAACTATTCTCAATAACTTGTTCATTAACTTTGCATTCAAAAGGTAAGTCAACTGCTTACTCAGCATAAAATTACTGTCATGCAATTTTAGTGAAATGAGCTTATATACCTTAAAATAATGTCCAATACCATTATTAAAATCCATTATGCTATTCACTTTATGTCTAGTATGAGAACAGGTGATAAAATAAAATTCTTTTATAATTTCAATTCAGAATTAGGGTTAGGATTATTCAACTATGGCAAAGCACACAAGGACTATCTGCCTGAACAGAGGGATGCCTTCGTGGAGGACCCTCTAAGGGAAACTGGCTCGTGAACACGTTACACATGGGGAAAACCACAAAAATGCCCATGCAGCCAGCCTGTTTGAGGGATTCGAACCTTGGACCGAACTACCAGTGTTCAGCGTCTTTACCGCTCGGCCGCTGGTGGGCCTCAATTTCAATTCAGATATGCTGTTCTTTTAATAATACACATAAATTATGTTGACACTAACAGAATAAATATCTATTATATCACCTAATCATATAATAAAAAGTACAAATGCTCTACTAAAAAATTGTATAAACTTCGAAAAAATGATTATAAAAACAAATAAAATGAAGAACAAGAGTATTTTACAGCTTCTCCCATAAATGATAATAAAAAAAAAAACTTTTAAATAAATATAATAAACTTACTTTCAGTTTTACAGATCTGTCATGAATTGCTAGCATTTCCTTTTTTAGCAGCTGAACTTTTACATTATATTGCTTGATTTTTGAAAACTGAGCAAAAAATATTTTAATTTCAATTTCATAAATATCTGATATGAAATGGAAACCAACATTTACTCATGCATTGTATCTGATTACAATATTTCACTCAATTATGTAAGTAATTTATTTAAAATAATAACATAATTCAAGAGAACTTAGCTAATACATACATGAATTACCATATTTAATGCAAATACATAAGCAATTTATTTAAAATGATAACAATAAAACATGGCAAAAAATTATATTTATTATTAAACATATCATGAAACTCTTATTATTTTACTTAATACAATTTTGGCAGCAATTTATTAAAAACATACATAAATATACTGCAAAATTTATTATTTACAGACTCATTCCGGTAGCCACATCTTACCAATTACTGCTACTTAATGCCTCGGACATTCACTATAGCTTCTTTTTCCATTAATGGAAGATTGAAAATTGTACACATAATGAGTATTTTACAATAAAAAAACTGTTATATTGACACAATGCTATTACAAAAAATCAGATCATTAAACGTCTATTTCTCACACATACACAGATCAGTAATGATTTGTTTCTCACCAATGTAGAAACACGACAAATTCATTTTCTTGTCAAGGCCATTACAGAAGATAAGTACCCTTTTTGTTACATGACAACTGATATTTATCTTCTCAAAACCCAGATCATCAAAAATTCTTTTATAATGATATGTAATTTAATTATACTTATTGTCATGGTTACAGCTAGGAAATAAATCTGTATACATATAATTGCTATGAACTAGTGGCATTATGTTTGAGTTTCACTAATGAAGTTTTATTTAATTTACATTTTTCCTTTTGACTTCACCACGAGGTTTTCCACTTATCCAAGAATTTACATACACCTGAGAGGCAATTCTACAGTAAAGTCAGAAGAATAACACACTACTGGTAAGAAGAGTTTCAGCATTAAAGCCAAAACTAGATTTGGTTTGGTAAGCTTATAGATCAGATTCACTATTAGTAGTCTCAGATGAATCTTGTAGCTTCTGTTAGAATTTCATACTGTAATTAGAAGAAAATCTTGTGTTTACAGCCAGGTCTAGGTGACTGGTACTTTTGTACTGTATTTTTTTTAGTTCAAACTTGTAAGAAGCAAGGTTGAATAAATGTATTTATGTAACATTGTATTTATGTAACAACAAGCAAATAAACACAATACATTTATGTTTGCAATATACATTGCATTTATGTAACAACAAGCAAACAAACACAATATATATGTAAATGTATTTATGTAACAACAAGCAAACAAACACAATGTATTTGTGTTTGTTTGCTTGAAGAGTTTACCTATTCTAGCAGTGAAATGGAGTCAACATCATACCTAGTTTAACTTGTAAGTAAGCTAGTTAAAATGAATTAATCTCCAGATAGGTGTAACAAATTTATCAGGGTTCATAGCCACATTTTAGTTAAAAAAATAAGCGCCTATAAGCACTTTTCAAGCACATTTTAAGAAAAAAAATAAGCACCTGTCTAATTACATTATAAACAACTGCATAACTTCAAAAATTAAGACTCGTAATTTAAAATATGAGAAATGCAGTATTTATTAAGAGAGAATAAGCATTACCTTAACCATGGAAAATAATTACTTTTTTTAAAATTTTAAATAACAGTTCAATTTACAGAACTAGTTTACAATGAGAGAAAAACAAACTATGCAGAACTAAACTATATTACAAGATTTAATGATGAAATTTCAGTTCAAAATAGAGGAAATAAATAATAATAATGGTGTGGTGTATTGAGAATACGACAAAGCACACTAGGGCTATCTGCCTAAGGGGAGGGATGCCTTCGTGGAGCACTTTCTAAGGGAAACTGGCTTGTATACACGTTACACATGGGGAAAACCACGAAAACGCCCATGCAGCCAGCCCGTTCGCAGGATTTGAACCTCGGATCAAACTACCAGTGTTCGGCGATTTTACCGCTCGGCCGCTGGTGGGCCCTTAAATAATAATAAGGCATATTTATTCTATTCGCTTGGAACTTAATAATAAATACAATTTATTTTTCCACTCATATTGATATTTAACTAATTTAAATCTAAATTCTGAACATTTTCTACATTTTCATCGTATATCAGTTTTCCCTTAACAGATATTGCAAGCAAAGTAATTTAAATAAAAAAGAGAACCATTTCTGAAATCAGAATACAGAAATTTGCTTCATGCAGTCATTCTTTAACAGTAAAAGCTTAACTACCCGCATACTTGAAAATTGGCGAATATTCGGACAGTCGAGCGTAACTTGAAAAAAGAGGAGCGGAGGGGGGGGGATAGACTGTAGCCGTTCTTTAGATTTTTCCGCTAAATAAATGCTTTTGACATTTCGATATGTGCATCATATAAAAACAAACCAACGGAACAGAAAAATATTCTGCTTAGCAAGCACAGTAAAACTCATTTAAGTGTTCATAAAACAAATCTCGGACTGAACATCAAAATTAATTACCTCTGCAAAATATCGCAAACATTATTGCGCAATACGTGCGCCGCAATTCTTCCCTACATGATATCATGCAATCGGATTCAACAGCTGCCGATATTGGGAGAATAATGAACTAAATAAAGGAAAAGAAAGAGACTTACCAATCTGGGGTGTTTTTCATTCTAATTTTCAAGAGACTGCGTTAAATTTCCGGAATAGAATCATTCTTCGCTTGGGTTAGTAGACCGCAGAACTTTTAGTCCTATTCAATCCAGTTTGGAAAGGGACAAAAAAAAAAAAAAAAAAAAGGTCCATTGCTTATTTTGCAATGAACTGTAACAGCTTCAATATTTCAAGATTTTGCGGAGAAAGGGGATAACATCCCAACCTTCGTACTGTATAATGTATTGACCAAAAAATGAAACTATTTTGACTATTTGATTACTTTCCATTTATTTAAGCCATTCCGAATATTATTAATTAGAAAGCTAATCTGTGTTAAAACACAACCAGTTTTGGAAGTTTACTATACTTCAGCATGCTCATAATATAAGCATAACGATCATAATGAACACGAATATGAACTGACCAAGCGGAAAGATAATGTAAATTATTATGATCTTGATAGAAATTCAAACATGTGTAGTATTTGGGTGGGAGGAAAAGAATGCCGAATGTACCGGAATTTTCTACTGCCTTCGCAATTCTTTGACCAACAGAACGACAGGCACCTGTCTGTACTCTCCGCGTACACCAGAGGTTATGTTAATGCCTGGAGGAAAGGGAAAAGCTAAGGGGGAAAAGCTATTTCTGGGAGTATGATTCACCATCTGATATTCCATATTAGGAAGAAAAGTTGTTTATTTAGTTTCGGCTTTGGTATGGGAAAAAATTGTGCGTTCTTTTAAAAAAATGCACTAAAAGTAAAAAATAAGCACTAAAAACAAAAAATAAGGGCTTTAAAGAAAACGTAAGCACCTATAAAGGCCTTTATATTTTATTTTCAAATATAAGGACTTATAAGCACTTATAAGGACCGCTACGAACCCTGTTTATATTTCAGCCATGGCAAAGCCAAAGCTTAATCTGTTCTTGAAGCATATCAAAAAATCAAATCTATAAAATATCAAAATGACGTACAGTAAAATAAAAGAAAGTTCTGTGTTCATTTTAGAAATAAAATTCTAACATTTTAAAGTGCTATATGCTTTGTTTTTCTGTTAGCAAAATCACTGATGATATTCTAGAAATTTGTTTCATCGCTCCAGTAGCTAGCCAGTACACAGTTCAGTGATATTTTTTAAATGCAAGGTATTCAGTTTTATCTATTACATTTTTTTTAACTGATTTTTATTTTCACAATTTTTTAGATAATTTCTTCTTACAGCAAGTAACACTTACAGCCAATGGCAGGGAAAATTCCCAGTAGTATTAAACATTCAAATATTTTATTTTTTTTTTTTTTTGTATGTTTTAGAATAAACTGCAAAAATCCAAAATGATCATATTTCCACTATTTTGTCTTCCTGAGCAATGACAGAAGTAAAACTAAGTATTTTTCTCTCAGTGAGGAACTCTTTCTTATTGTTGTTATTGAGATCATAATTTAATTGAAATTTGTATTTTTCATTAAAACGTTTCTACAGAGTATGAAAGGCACAGCAAAAACATGAAACTATTGAAATTACTTAGTAATTTCTTTGAAGACTTTGTCAAATGTAAAAATAATTAGCTTCTCAACTCCGTTTCATATGACAATTCAACACCTTGTAATTCTTCACCTCAGCAATGACTAAGTGTAAATGTTAGCACAAACTTGGGTATTTTTGCATAATGAAACACAAAACCATAAAAGCGAATGCGCGCAAAGATACATATTGGCGAGAGAAAGTGATGGTCGGGGGCATTCTATTTTTACCTTAGATACTTGTACCTGGGCCAAAGGTATAATTCAGTTAGTGCTTTCTCTTTCAGGTACTGCGTCAAAGTATGTTCGTATTTCTCTTTTTTATTGCCTAACTAGGTAAACCTGATGATGATTCTATGTAAGTTATTCTTTCAATACTTCAATTTTTAATGTCTGTGAAGATTATTTTAAATGGTGTTCTACTTAAGCAGAATTCTCATACTTGTAAAATAAAGATTTTGTAGTTATTTTGACTTATGATTCTTTGATTAAAACTGGGCTCAACTGACAAAACGTACTCATGCACAATACAACAGTTGATTATGAAAGTGAGTATGTTAATAAGTTTGAGAAAAAACTGCGCTGTGAAAATGCTTCTAAAAACTGAAATATTTTAATATTGTAAGATTCCAAGAGCATAAGTTATTAAAACTTGTTTTTGAAAATACTAGTTATAAGTTTAAAAGAATAACTGTAATGAATAATTATGTCTATTCTAAAAGCATCAGTTTGTATAGAGAAATTAACCGATGAAAGTTATTCAGCTTGGAAATTTAACAACTTTTAATAAAAGTAGGTTTAGATGCTGTTGTATTTGAAGAAAAACCAGAAACTGTTTCTGATACTTG